CTAAATATTATCTACACTAAAACAGATGAAATCTGCTGATTGCAGTTCTATAGAGAGGCAAGAGAGTGTTTTGATTTGTGGAACTAACATTAGCACTAAATAATATTTAATTCCGAAGTATAATACATTTTATCAACAAAAACCCCAGACAGGAGTTCTGAAGACTGCTGGAAAAATGGTCAAGCAAAGACTGTAAGCTGTCAAAAATTCTGATTCTTATCCAAAGCCGACTAAAAAAGAAAAGGTGACGGTGTCCCTTTTACCAATACTCCATTGCTATACCTTTTTTCATTTTTTGATGACCCTTTGAGGCAGTTCAGGATTAAATAGCAGGAGTTCTTTCTTTTATAGAGTATAACAACGCAAGATTGCACCTACACATCTGCTATTTTTTGCTTAGAAAGCATAATTAGGGTTACACATAATAATACTGCTATTCAATTGGCAAATTGACAAATTATAATGTAGTGACCAAATAAAAAAAAAATATATTAATATAAGTTTTGTCCACTCCTATTCTGAAGTAATTCCATCTATCCCTTGAGATTTATATCAATAGTAAAAACGTACGTAAAAGATCATCATAAGGGAGGGTTCAATTTGAAAAGGGTTCACCCTTAATTGTGTGAGGTAGAGTTTAAGTTTAATGAAATGGGGAAAAAAAATCAACTAGTCCATGTGACTTAAGTTCTTACTTAATGGAATCTGGAATCTTTCCCTCCTAAAGAGCCCACAGACATCTTTATAAACCCCCTTCAAGTTTTTAACTCTAAATAATTGATCTACCCATCCGTAGTTCTACATTATGGTTCACATGCTATGTTACTCTTGTATAAAATTGGACCTGAACAGGACTGGCTGTAGTTTTGGCCGACAACATTTGCTTGAAGGTCAAGACCCCTCCCACCTGAAACCAGCTCTTAGCAATACAGGATAATATGGTTTGAAACCCAGCTGGGCAAATAGTTAGGGCTTATTAAAAAACAAGTTATTATAGTCAAAAGCTGTATGACATTGTGATTTCTGAGATTGCAAGTGATGTCCTATAATTTCAAATGGTGTATGTTTAAAGGGAAATTGTAAAAGTTCTCTCTTAAATATCAGGAATAGAATGGAGATTGAACAACTGTCTGGTGCACCACCAAAAATGGTACGAAGTGTATACCAGACATTCAGCCCATCATTATAATTGGGGACATGGTTAAGATGGTGTAATATTTTAAATTCCTGGGCACCTATATCAGTAAGGACCTGACCTGGAAAATCAGCCCCACTGAGGTTATTTTTTTCTGAGGATTTTCAGGAAGAATGACCTGAAATCTCTTGATTTCACTGCTCAGAGACTGATTGGCTGCCCCCTTCCATCTCTGGAAGAACAATAAAGTCAAGAAATAGCAGACTAAAAATGTTTCTACCCAAGAGCTGGTTTTACCCTGAACAATGCAAATCTCATCCAGACCATCCCTCCCTCCCTCCTGCAGAAAGACCCCAGGCAGGGAACTGATCCTAGGACCTTATTGCTGAAAGGCAGCAGTGAAACAGTACACACTGCACCTACAGTACAAGCAACCTTTATTGTTGTTATCTTGTTGTTCATGATATATTTCATCAAATAAAAGACAAGCAACAATTTTATTTAATATAAATATTTTAAACAACTTTAAGGAACTTGTAGGTTTTAAAGGGATGACTATAACGAATAACACATCTACTTGCATTTCAAAAGAGGTATTCCAGCCTAACCAAGGCTTGATGCTGGCATGCTCTTTTAAGCAACTCTTGCCGCTGAATTTAGTTTATTCTTTGTTTTTTTTTGATCAGATTAAGATTGTTACCACAGAGAATGGTAAATAGATCAAAATCGTGCCAATCTCATATCTCTTGATAACATAGCCTGACTGATTTGATATACTAAGGCTCGTGTTTCTGTTCCACAACATTTCCCTTCAGTGTTATGGCTCCATCACCACAGTCTGCTCTCTTTGATTCCTACTGAGGCCATTACTGATTTCCTGACAATAACCATTCAGTAGTTTTTACTCCTGTTGAAGTAAAACAAAAATGAATAAAAAAAAAGAAAACAAAAGGCAAAGTGGATCCTTGGATCTATGACCTTAAAAAGTGTTTTTTAGATTGCGACAATAATTGAAGGGATAAAATTGGTCTACCAATGACACACAGTTTCAACGTTTATAGAAAAAAAAGGGCTAATACACAACTGGGGACAAGAGTGAAATACTGAGCTGATAAAGCAAAGCAAATAGCCTAAAAGTAGCTGAATAGCCTGGCTTGAAAGCAAAGATTTCTTAGATTTAATCTGAGAAATGGGTTGTTCATCAAAACCCGCTGCAAATATCATGCAGAAGATGATACAAAATTTCTTTACTTATATCTAAAGCTCTATATGCATTTTAACAGCGAGAGGATGTCAGCCAATAGTTCAGGGAGAAACTGTTAAATACGGAGAAAAATTCTGATATGTTTAATACAGACTACTTAGGTTTAAGTTATATAACACCACTGCATGTCCTAAAAGCATGCACAGCTCTGTCAATTTTTAAGACCCACTTACATTTTGAGTAACAGAGTGAACAATGGGTTTATTGTTATGTGCATACTGTAGGTCCTAGACCTCCGGCAGGCGGCTTGATTAGGCAACTTCTACTCAACTGTGCATTTTTCTTTTTTAAATCTACTTTCTAGTAGGGTTGAGTGCTCCATTTTTTGTGGATGGCTTGCAAACATTATAGAACATGGCATTATGTGCACAACTTTTTTTTCCTTTTCTTTTTATCAAGGCATTTGTTTTTGGAGCGGTAATGCAGGACCCATGCCAAAACTGAGCATTACCACTGAAGGAGAAGGCATACGACCAATCATCCTGTCCAGCATCGTGGGAAATGTGATATCCTCTCCTAATAAAGTGGATGAATTGGCACCTTACCAGGCCTCAGAGAGGCTACAGATATAGCAGCTTAATTAGCTTTGCATTAACCTTTTAAATGACTGGTACCAAGTGATACTAGGAAGAAAGTTCAGTATCAGCAGTTAGCAGGATAAATACAAATCTAATTGTTCACCGATGAGGAGTTGGAGAACCATATCCATAGTCATTTTGAAATGGCTTTAGAAAACATGTGTTACAAGGTGAAAAAAATATATAACATTCCTCTATAAGCAAACATTTCTGGAACTCTTTTTAATTTGCTATTTCACTATGAAACAGGATGCACTAAAATCAAAATTGGTTAGAGGGGAAAACGTGATGCAACAAAATTAAACAACTCTTAATTGTTAGATCAGCACAAAACCAAATGAATGAGACATCAATAAGTTTTAAGCTTTGTCATGATCGGACCACAGAAGACAACTTAATGTGAAATGTTTCTCTCCATGGAGCAAAGGAACAGACTGCTAATATAATTTCTTTTAACCTCCATGCTGTGCTTCACTAATCAGCGTAATAGTGAACGTCAGAATGACAGATCTAAAAGAGAAACAAATCAATTATATATCCACAACAATATTCTTCCCCTGATAATTCAGCAGTGTGTTTTGGTTGCAAGAATTAGGTCCAAATAAGGACACTGTTTGAACTTGCTTTCCCAGGAGTGAGACATTACCGCAATAGTAATAGAAGTAAATCACAGACATGGCTTTCCAATTAATTCCTTGTTTATTTCAATAAAAGCAACAATAGGCAATATTCTGAAGTGCAACGCATCATCAGATATGAAGCTATTAAGGAACCTCCACATCCACATTTGGCCCTTGTACTGAGTCGTGTTCAAGTATCTTACCAATAACATGCAGACATTCACAAGTACCAATAAAAACATCCTTATCTATTTCACATAATGCAACTTTACTAATGTAATGGGGGCATTAGATAAATTTCCCCTTTCTTCTTGAAATGATCTTATACTTGATTGCATATGAAGCCAGCATGACATTCAGTTGGGAAGGAAGCAATCCTTATGGGGCCCTTACAGTAATAACTGCACCTGCTGAGGCTGCAGTCTGGCGGTGTAGTTTTATGTCCCAGCATGACATTAAAGATTAATGTAAACAGACAAACAAGAAAAAAAAATCGTCTGGATTGGAGGAGAACAGCACAATTGCTGAGAGGAAATGAGTAAATGACCTTTGTGTAGCGGCTGCAAAAATGACTATGCTTGGGGAAGATAATGAATAAATGAATAAATTCAGTAGCTGTGTTGATCAACAAGACAGTACTGACTTTTGTTAGCCAAACAAGATGAACAACTGGGATCAGCTTGAACACTTCAAACATTTGAATCAATTTGGTTTTGTTTATCGCCCAAAATAACCAAATAGGTCATATGAGGGCATTTATCATTGTATGGTTGAGTTCTTACTTCCCTCTGCAGAAAAATCCATCAATTCCCTTGGAGCAAACAGTTCTGACAATCTATTGTTGATTTATTTCTGGGGCGAACTTGTCACATTAACTTAGGCTCAGTATAAGAGGGTGGTTCTCACAAGTTGACCATAAGCAGTTTTACTGTTTCTTTGAAGACGGATGAACAACTTCATCTGCTTCTTTACTTAGCATCTGACCTGTAGAGCAACGCCTTCTAGCATTGCAAAAGGCTCCAGTTTTTATTCTTAACATTTTTATTTATTTAAAACTAGTATAGAAGTTATCTGACAAACAAACTGAAAATAGAAAGTCTGATACTGCAGGTACCTTGCATACATCTTTAACTCTTATCTTTAATATGAAAAAATCGACACTTTTCTAGACTATAAAGTAAGCTATGTGAGTAAAAAATGTATTAGCCTGAAATTATTTGGAAGAAGCAGGGAAAAGAGCATGCATCTTCTAAGTACTTAACATTACATTTTAAAAGAAAGACTGAGATAAACAGTAAGAAACCATTTCCCCCTATCAATACACATTTATTAAGGTCACATTAATATCAAATATAAAAAGTGCTTAGATGTTGTTCAAGGTTGTTTACTTTTATGATTCTTACCTCTGAGAGAAAATATCTCTGTAGGGGCTGCCGTGCTGCATGGCAATACCATATCCACGGTCTGGCGCGTTGCTGTTTACAGTGTAGAAGGAACAATCCTCATCATTATTGGCCACATACTCCAGCACTGCTGCATCCCACACAAAGCCAAAGCGCCCATATTTCACCTTAATGAAAGAGAGAGAAAAAAAAAAAAAAGACATTCAATATACAGTATTATTTCAGCATTCAGAGAGTTGTGTTTTTGCTTCATCAACAGCGGAAATTCAGTCTGAGTTATTCTGATAATCATGTTTGGATTCACAGTTTAAAAATTAACCAATTTAAAGCTTTTTTGTTTGCAGTAATGTTTACCAACATTAAGCAGGGAGAAATACGTTAGTGCTAATTTCTCTCAACACATATAGAGACCACAACCGGATTATGTGTTTAGGGACAGCAGTGATTTTCTTTTAAATTCCTTGTGAGAAAATGGCATCTTGAAAGCACTCTTTACATGTTGGTGATAAATCTTTAGATGTATATAATCAAGATAGCCTTTTTTACAAGTTGTTTACTACACTGAATCACATTAAGATTGAAGACTTCACTTTTTTCAGTGGCAGAACATCCATCCTGTGAGTGTGTTTTTTTTGTCAAAACTCAGAGAATATTAAGGAGTTTAAAATGAATATCAGGACTTGATCGAATTGTGTTTCATATTGTTAATACACCCTGTAGTTAAAATTCAATAAAACATTTATTTTTAAAGATGCAAAAAATAAGGATGCTGCAATATTCTAATAAAGAAATATTTTGATTTTGAAACATTGATAAACACAACAGTAAGATGCATAACGATACTCGCAGCCTTCTGCATACATACACTTCTTTTTCATGATACATCATTTTGGACCTGGTGTGTCATTAACTTTGATGGTGCTTTATAAAATGTTCAAATCCATCTGTGTTTTAGCTCGTGTGTGTTTGTGTGTCTCCTCACTTGGCTCACACGTAATGACTAATGTCTCAGGGCTGACAAGGCCTTCTGATTGGGTAATTTCACAGCCTTTAGTCTGCTTCAGTGTGTCAGTGTGTATTTGTGTTTTTACAAATGTCTTCACTATTTCACTGCAGGATATCAAAATGGCTCATTGTAATCTTTCAAACCTTCAAAAGAGAGGGAAGAGCACTACTATTAGTTTTGAAGACTAAATGTGTACCTTCTAATGATGGCTGTTGAATTGAAAAGCTTAACAGGTTTTGCAATACGACTCTAAATCTATTTAAATTAACTACTATTTAACAAAAGAAACAGTTTTATTACTCAATTCAATTGAAGAGAAGTGGCCTTTGCACACTGGAGAGGTTGCATATGTGAATGGTTTAAAGCCAAGACTATAACTTTTGGTCTATAAGCAAGACCCTTAATTCAAGAATGCTCCTCGCGCCCCCCACTTAGTGCATGCAGTCTACTGAAAAAATGTACCCACTGTGGGACAATTAAGGGGCGTTATATTAAAAAGTCTTCTTCAGCAGTACACATGTCATTTTCTGATATCAACGATGCATCACTCATATATTTGATAACATAAGATAAATGGTTTACTTTAACAGTTTTGCATGGGTTTCCATTTCACAAAGCAGGTTTAACAAAGTCAAAATTAAAATCATCAACTTTGAATTGATCTAGCCTGAGGTTGAAAACTGAGTTATCGGTTTCACCAGCAGCTATGAGTTAGCTTAATCAACTCTGAGTAGCTCCCCTCAGACTTAAACAAATGCGTAACAAGTAAGAAAAGCCATTATGAGTGGACACCGATTAAACAAGTCACCATGACATCGAGCAGCAGGAAGAGCCCATTTCATCTCACTGGAACTAGAGATTTAAATTAAGAAATGAAAAAAATATGAATACTGTGTTTAAAGAACAGAGAAACAGTGCTAAAGCTGCAAAGGAGAGGAAGATGGTGAAGTAGAAGATTGCTGCTTATGTTAATGCGTGAGTTTATATAAAGTCCTCTATAACAGACTGTTTTAAGCTTTACTTTAAGCACTCTCCTCTCTGTTGTTCTATTTATAGCTCACTAAAATGGGATTCTTCCAGGTACAAATCACATTCCTAGTTAGAACTATAATAATGCATTTTCTAAGTTACATTTTTTGCAGCAAAAATTGAATATCAGAAAGTAAAAAAAAAAAAACTAAATTGTACGAGAAAGAATTAAGTTTTATATACCTAGAAATGTTTACACATTTTAAATCGCTGTGATTGGTTCTAAGGAGAACAGAGACGGTGACACTCTGAGTTTACTGAACAAAACCGGCTCCCAACCAGGTTAGTTTTGCAGAGAATTTTACTATGGTAGCAGAAAGAGAGGTTGAGTAAACTCTCTTTGTGAAACAGAAAACTCAGAGTTTATGCATCAGAATAACTATTCAACATGTACAACATGGCCTAAATATTGACTAAACTTAGATGAATTACTGAAGATAACAATAATAGCCACAGTGGCACTATGAGGTGATGCCTTGAACACCAGTGTTCTCCTATCGTGCTGCCATTGAAAAACTATTGTGTGAAGTCCCTTTTTCGTGCAAATACCACATTATAATTAAAGCAGCTCTATTATTTACTCTGATATGAGTTCCCTCAAAGTTTGACAGGTTCTTCGTTATAACCATAATTTTATATAAATTGCTCATTAACTAAATATTGTGTTTTCATAACAAACAAATCTATTGTATACCTTCGGTTTTTCATGTAATAATTGATGCTCTTTTAAGTAGCACTTAACATCTTGGAATGTAAATCTTACTTTTAAAAAAATGTATACCTATGGTTTTACGATTACAGCACTGGTCTATTTTAATGAGAGAAATTGCTCAAATAGAAACACTCTATGTGAACTCCTTTTAGGAAGGTGAACTTCACTCATTGCTGTGAACTCATCTGAGATAAGTGCCCACCATGAAACCCTGTGACCTCCTTAAAGCCAGTGGGCTGCAGTTCACTTATGTTCACTTAAATAATTGAAGAGATAGAAAGAGAAGAAACATTGCAAGTCAGACTTTGCTAGTGAAGACAACATTACAGACACCCATACTTCTCCGGTATTATTTTATATATATTTAAAAACTATTAATATATTTACTTCTGCATTATCAAAAACAATACCAAACCAACACAACATATGTAAAATAAAGACCATTAAAACAATGAAAACTAGTTAAAATGAAACTAGTGTTGACCACATTGACCACCGTGCTCAAGGATAGCTAAGAAAATTGCAAAAGGTTACAGTTCTTCTTAATTTTCTTACCCATTAATTAAAAGTAGTTAAGGCTATTTTAATGTGATTAATTGAATTAACTCTCTAACAAACACTTAGAGAGTTGAATTTCAACCTTAACCCTACATAAAGCCTTTCTCTCTTATGACAATAATGCTGACCATTAAATTCTTTTTTAATGGTCTTTATTTTTTCATATGTTGTTTTGGTTTGGTATTGTTTTTGATATTGCAGAAATAAATATATTAATATCTTATAAATATATATAAAATAATACCAGAGAAAAACCAATATAAAAAGTAACAAGAAAAACATCAAAATGTATTTCTTCTCTCTCAACGATTTTTAAAAAACATTAAAAAATGCACGTTGTTCTTGCATTATGTCTTTAGATAAGAAAAATGTTTTTCCTTGTTTGTTTCAATGTATTTATAAAAGATAAAATGTCGTATGTTTAACACTATTAAACCCTAAGAATTAGTTAGGTTTTTAGCTAGCCTTATCCAACATCCTGAGAAAATATCAAACTGACTCGATAATTAACACATTATATCATTTTTATTCATTCAATAAATTATTCAAAAAATAGTATAAATACTATATTTCAGAAAGTCAGAAAAGACCTCAAAATATGTTCTGGAATAAAATATTCAGAAAGTCTGGGTTTTCAGTTTCAGAAAACCAGATGGCTGTTATCCTGAATCGGCAAGATCTGTTGACCTGATGCTTAATCTGTGGCAAATTTGACAGTTCAGGAAAATGTTAAATATGGCATGCCCTTTAATAAAAGAGGCTATATATGTTGGAGAACAAATACTTCATGTGATTAGATTTATTTTTATTTCTGGATTCATATATATTTGGGCATAACCATTTTTCATCAAGTACATATTTATAAGCTTTGGGCCCACACATTGCTCATGTGACACAACAAGCATGAATTCTTTGTGCTACACTTTGTTTTAAAGCTGGCGAAACAACCAGCCTACAGCATTAAATGTAGCATTAAACTGTTACTGTGAAGCACAGGTGTCCATTGCAATATACCTGTCAATCACAAATTCATTTCAGAATCAGCGTTTTCCAATAGCAGACTGGAGAGTGTCCCCATCTGGCATGCTGGGCCTTATTACAAAAGATGAATTCATAAATCCCAGCATATGAGATAACACCAGACTCAACCTAGCATGAGGAGTGAATCCTGGCTTCATTCTTTCCACAAACGCCAAGCCAGGCACCACAGGTGCACATACCTCAAGCCAGGTGTAAGCAATCAGGCTAAATGCAGTTCTGCATTTTTCTTTAACAAACCATGAGGTTGATCACTGATTCACTGATTCAGCAAACAATAATAGATAAACTAAAAACCTAAAAATGAAAAAATATGGTAACCGGAATTTAGATTTCTGTTACATTTCTGTCTAAGTATTCAGTCCCTCTATGCTACAGTGGTTTATGTCTTTGCCTTAAATGCAAGATGTTCTGGGTTGAATCCTGACTACAACATAAAAGTAAATTTACAAGAAACTCTTTTTTAAGCAGCAAATATGACTTTTTCCTTACATATTGTTATTCCCAGAATTGTATCTTAACATTAAAATCGGGGAATCCTGTATCAGAAAATGAAAAAAAGCTGTCATCTCTTCCAAAGTTTCTTTCAAATTTATGTTATAACATAAATGAATCGTTTAATGCCAAATGTACACTTCTGATGATCTAGCAAAAAGTGTCTTTGCTAAGATTTTCAGCATCTCCTTCTGCAAACAGAAACACGCAACAAGTAGAAAATCTAAGCTTAAAACATATCACCTATAGGCATGCTTCTGTTCCCATACGGTGCTGAATTTTTGGACCCAGCTGTTTTTACAGCTAGCGTCTATCATTACTGAAAAAAC